AACTTTTAAGAAGTGGTACGATGAAGTCTGTTGTTTTAGAGAAAAAGTGTCTTAATATTAGATCTGGGTTGCAGGATTTTGTTGTGAGGATTAAAAGTTAAAACTCTAAGATTCATTAAATTAGAGCTAAATCTAATTCGAGATAATCTTCCACCTGTTTACGAATAAACCAAGCTCCAGAGATCCTCCATCCGATATTAGATGACTTAGACTTATTTTTTGAACCCCAATTTTTAATGATATTTTCATCCTTATAATGTTCAACCTTGAATTCTTTCTAGTTTAACCCTTAATCTTAGCAATTCCTTTTTGCTTCCTAATGTATCATATCCCACAACTCTCACAGAAGTTATTCATCCTTAAATTGCAAGTTTGCTTATAATTCTAGTATCTTTCCATATTTTATTTAGATCCCCTTCACCTGATATTGTCTCAGCCTCTTGCCAAACGGATGACCTGCTTGTCTCTCTTGCTGCTTCCATATCCAAGTCCTTCCGGCATCGTGCCATCAACACAGACCCCGTATGCAATGAAGAAAAAGAAACAAACACGAGGCCTCGTGGTGTCAATTCAACTCTATCTTTCCTTGGCACCACGTCTAATGGGATACTGGGTGAAAACGGTCATTCAGAGGACGTTGATACAGTAACCATGGGGCTTGATGAAATGTTAACAACCGACCTAGATTCCCTTGATAACTTAACTCGGGCAAGGATGCGCCGGAAGTTGCGCGAGCGCTGGAACACTGTGGCTTCTGAAGATGGCCATGGAGATGAGCATGGCCTCTCAGGGGCTATCGGAGCCACTGAAGGGAACGTTGGTACCAGTGGCGGTCACACTAGTCACCATTACTTGATGCAACACCCAGCATCTGCTGGTAGAAACGGGCTGACTGAAGCAATTGACCATAGCCACCCGTCTTCTGTGTATTCTGCACGCCGGTCCAGTGCTGTGCAACAGAGTTATCGACCATGGTAACACGTTGGTTTATTATGGTTGTGCTCAAATAGACAAACAAATTCAAAAAATGCGAGAAATGTTAAAGTATTTGCGTAGAAAAAGCAATTTCACATCGTTCGCTTAATATTTGTTTCCTCATCTCCTTACTTTTCTCCCACTTTCCTTTCTTCAATGCCTCACCATTTCTGTATCTCATCTTCCCACAACTTCTTAATCTTCTTCCATTCCACTTTCTGCTTCATTTGTCTCCCCTAACCATATTAATAGGTTTCATATATTTTCTCAATCTCGCCACCAATTGAATCCAAAGCATTTGAATCTGTGGGAGCATTAAAACTGTTGCTTTTTTGTCTTTTGGTTGCTGAGATCCTCCATGTGAAGGTGCCTATCTCCTCCAGATTTCAAAATTTTTGCCATTTAGGTCAGCAGAACCAGCCATAACTGGTATACTTTGTTAATCGATTTTTATATTTTTGCTGATTCAACATTATGCTTCATTCTCACAAATAACCCTAAATTTCTCAGAGCCATTTTGTATGCACCAAGCCTTAATATTACTCACTTTTGTGCAAATGCATATGTCCGCATGTTAGTAAATCACAATGGATCTGCTTTGATATTTCCATCTTAACTAAGGCACACTTTATAGGCATACCAGCTGCTTAGCAAAGACATAATTTTAGTCACTGGAGCTTTCGTATCCGGAATTTTGATGCTCTAGCACTAGGGGTAACGAGCAGCACATTCTTCTAGCTAACACAACCAGATATTAATGATTTAACTAGCCTACTTGAACATAAAAACTACTCAATGACTCAAACAACTTTTATATTTTCGATAATTTCAACTTTCACGAACATCATTCAGGCTACATATCATTGATTCCTCAAACTCTTTCGAATATCTCATTGTCAGTGGGATTCGTGAAATATACTTCCAGTTAACTGTTTAGGTATCAGGCTGACTCATTTGGCACTCGCATGCCGAAACCATGACCTGTAAAGTGATGTGCCCTCACTTCTGCTATTGTTCGCGATATCTCTTGCCAACTATCCTCTGAATTTTCTATTAAGACGTGCTTTCTTCTAACATGATTTTACTTTTCTTAGAAGCGTATTTAACAGGTATCAAAACTAAATTCGATTGATCCATTCGTTACTAAGATAGTTCACTGGTTTAAGTAATCAGAATATGTCTACCCATATTGAGTCCTTTATTATGCACTCAAGATAAACACCGAAAATTCCACTCAGAATAAATTCTGACCTCTTTCGATGGTAAAGCCAATACTGCCAAAGTTGCACTGGCCTGGTCCCTTTAATTAATTTAAGCACGAAAAAATATTTGGGTCATATACATCACTGAAACTTATTCTTCAACATATCGCTTTATTTTTTTCCTCACTAAATGTTCTTCGAAGTCTAATAAAGTACAAATATTCAAGGATACTTGCGATAAGTTGAAAATAAGAACAGCGTCCTTACAATAGTAAGTAGATAGCACATACCCAGATACTCTTGTATCATCCTATTCAATTTTATGGAATACACAAATTATATGAAAGTCCAAAG